TCAATAACTTTCGAAGTGATTTGTTCCATTAACAAAGGACAATTGACACATTGTAAAACTAAATCACAATATTCATTCACAGCCAACGGACCTAAACTACTGGCGACCTGTAGATGGATCAATAAAACAAAAAGACAAAAATACGATTTCAAATACGTTACCTTTTATTTCAAGATCAATGAGATTATATTTAACTCGATTTTCAAGTTCACTACTCTAAATAAGCCTATTTTAAAAGTATAGAAAAAATATGGTTATTAAATTTCAACGGTGTTTCTTGAATTACAACTGAGTTAACTAATTCTCTAATTACTTGGTTAAGAATCCTACGTTACGTGTGAGGAATAATGATGATACCCGGTTCCGTAAACCCAAGTAGCTGGTACAGAGTTCGAAACAGGGACTAAGAAGCTAAAAGTCGGATGTCTTGACCGACTAACCGGCTGCTCTATCAATAATAATCTGAATACATAATAAATAACTTGCTTTAGAAACATTTTCTTTTGCTACCTAATAACTTTTATCGCTTAACCAAGTTACCGTATTGTGCTTATTGCAGAGACCAGTTATGATTAAAAATAATAACAATACAATTCACAATTATCTCTGTTTGAAGCAAAAGTACAACATCGTAGAAAGTCAATTCACAAGTAGTTAGTTGTTTAACATCTGATTAGAGTATAAAACATGTAAAATTATGAAATCATTCAGTTGATAAGCAAAATCGTTTTAATTATTCATTCTGTTAATTTCGTGTTTAATGTATTTAACTGGAATTAAACAAAATCACCAATCATAAAGAGAATTTATCACAGTAAATACAGAGAGTAAAATACATTTGATTAAGAAAATCACTTTACACAATACAATAGATACTTGATTACATTAAGAAATTCTCAACTTAATATTTATTATATAACGAAGTTTCATCATTATTTTCAATTCTAGTATTATTATTATTATTATCAAAATGATACGGAATATGTCAAAGAATAATATTTTTTCTGGAAAACACTGAGTAAGTGCTATTCATCTTGTTAGCGAGACATAGATTGGATTATAGCATGCTCCATGCACGAATGCGTTGCTGCACGCTGATTGGCTAATTCTCATCCAATCAGCGCTAGCCTATACTTGGAGAACACTAGAATCTTCTCATGTAAAAACTATAAATATACTAACGTTTCTCCTATTGTGCTTCTTACTTCCATCTAACCTTGTTATTTGGAATATAGTCTCTTTCCTGTTCAGCCGTATTCTGATTTGGGGACTCGTCGAGTGAATTGGTGTCCAAGAATACTAAGCAATAGGAATAGCTGGGTTGTAATAAGAACTACAACACATCTTTACTCTTATAATCGATATAAATGTTGGATAAGATAAAGTACATTTCTATCAAGTATTCCAGACTCTGGAATAATTGACCACAATCTCTCTGTGGAATAAAATCAATCAAATCCTTTGTTCACTCCATTGATGCTTACTTCTCCTATGAAAATACTTTAAATGTTCTTACATCTGTAAGTATATCCCATTCTACAAGTGAGATTATAGGAACTTTAAACGTCTAATCGTTTTTATTACTGAATCCACTAAGTGAACCTCCTTACCTGTTGATACTTTGCAGCTACAGCGTCTCTGGTAACCTTAACTAATTTGAATAATATCTAACAGGAATAGTATATCATAAAATAACCTAGCACATGTATTATAGTAGACCTGACTGACCTATTGTAGTAATTACAGCTTTCGCTGTTCCTTGCCCCTGCTTTCGTTTTATTACCTCTAGTTGTAGATGATTACAATCAGTTCGTGATGGCACAGGAAATGACCTGAAATCCGCCAATCATACATCAACAAGATGTCTATCTAAAAATAATTAAAATCCCCGCTGAAGCTTTTTATTGCTGTAATTTATTATATGTATTTATTTCAACACGTAAACGTTGGTACAAGGAGGCACCAAATAGATATCCGCCACATAAATCATCCGATTTGTGTGAGGGCTAGGATACTGCCCGGGTGCTCAAACCGAAGCAAGTGGTTTTCCTAGAGGGCCACACCTGTAGCTTTTAATCTAAAAGTCGAATCCGCAAGGCCGTGGAGCAACGTCAGGAGACGCAGTCCCTTGGTAGCCGATGGTCAACGATTGGTTCATATGCCATTTATTCCCTCAGGATACTGGAGCTCATGTGCACCATTGGTTTATAATCAGGGTTTTCGAACTCCCTTAGGCGAACTCTGTGTCCACCAACCCGGTTAAAGCGCCGGACATTCAGTTTTCGTCCTCTCAATTTCGTAAAAAACACCCCCGCTGTGAGATGGTAGTGAGTAGGACTTCCCTGGGAGTGGTTGTATGCACGTGGCCATGTGAGAGCATTTCGAGAGGAAGAGCTGACTGTCTCCACTCTCGGCTGTACCACGGCATTTGGGGTTGATTGTTGTAATATGTGCGAAAACTGTACTATCTAGATAACATTTTGAACCTGAACAACCTGATATCACATATCTGTCCTCTACATTCAATATTACTATATATATCAAGCTGATCATACCTGTAAATTGGCATGAACTCTGTAATTATTATTTCCAGAATATATTATTATTATATTATTACAGCGATGAATTTCAGTGCAATTTAGAATGCAAATGACAGATAAAGAGGGAAATATCCCAAAAACTATCTCGTGTCTCCATATGACAATAATTTAGCATTGTCATAAATTAAAAGTTATTTACATCACATATGTGCAAAATAGCCTATGGTTAACAGATATAATTACTTAGTTACATACAATATGTGTATATTGGTATGATAGACTAAGAATAGAGAAAAACATACATCTAAAGTCCACAGTATATGTGCACTACATGATTTTGAATTGGTATTAGTATTGGTAGTGGTAGTAGTAGTAGTAGAAGTAGTAGCATTGATCAAATTAAAATCTGAGTTAACATTAGCTGATGATATTCTGACTTGATTCGATGCTCTACAAGGTGATGATGCACCAGGTATAAGAAATAATGATGATGAATTCTCCGATGGTAAACAATTATTTTGATCATTTGTTATTATGGTATTTCGTGTACTAGTTGAAAGCACACAATTACTGTTAGTATTATTAGTATCAGTTTGCATGAAATGTCTACGTTGTGAATGATTTGTTGAATTTCCACGATGGCTTTGTTGCATATGATAATGATGATGCTTTCCCCGCATACTTCTTGATGGCATTGAAACAGTAACAGGATTTTGACGAGTAAAATTTGTATTCACATTAGACTGTAATGTAGATAATAGAAGAAATATACTGAAACAAGAAGAACTAGAATTACTGATCATTTCAATTTATTTAAAGTATTCCATCAAGACAGAAGACAATAAACTATATTTTTTAAAAATTCAAATAAAGCCTTAGAAAACTAACGCAAAAGTGAGGGAATGTTTGATAAACATTAAAGGTTCTATAATAGTCCTTGGTTAATCGCCAACCAGTTGCTAATTAAGTTGAGTTTTGTAAATAGCAAGTAAACGTTGATAATATTCACATGAAGATAGTCCGTCTGCAAACTTTTTTTTAAAAAAATCATTGTTACTAAAATGCCTGAAAGTATTAATATTCAGTCATGACTGATTACGACTGATTAGTAGAGTGGGATCAATTTAATTTATATTGTTCAGTAGTTGCAGGCAATTAGTAGGAAAAGCCTTGCAGTCAGTCATTCGGATTTGCACCAATCATCCATATTTACAGTCTGAGACATTGCAAGTGACCACCACTTTTTGAAGGAGTAAGGTATTTACAAATGGTCTATCATTAAGTAGTGTAGCAGCCAATATCATTAAGACCTAACTGAATTCTCTTAACCAAGTTACAATTTATAAGTAAATATCTAAGGAATAATGTTGCATTATAAAACCAGATAATCGAAAATGTCAGCACTGGAGGTTAAAAAGTGGAAAACCCAAAACAAAAAAGAAAAGAAACGTACTTGGTTAGCTGATATCTTCTTAATGGCACATTTTGCACAGAAAAATGCTCGAATTAAATAAGCTTGTGCTTTCAACTTTAAAGTTTGTAATTCACTGACTGTTGATTTCGCTGTAATACTTGACAATTTCTCTTTATTATTATTGTTACTATTCAATGACAAATCACCGGAAGAATTACTATTGTTAGAATATGGATTGTTTTCATCGCCTAATCCATCTGCTACAGATTCAGCTAATCGACAAGAATCACCTTCAGATACAATCGATCCTTGATCAGACATAGATGGATGTACAACAACAGAACTAGAAGCAGTATTTGATGTTGTCAACTGACGAGTTGATGTTAACGCAGATGATATAACTGATGATAGTGAATTGACTGAAATAACTGTACTATCAGATAGTGTATTCAAATTAACATTATTGACAAAATTGTTATTAGTACTGTGTATGTTATTATTAGTGTTTATAGATGCTAATGACGTAACTGGCTCAACGGTTTGATGTTGTTGTTGCTGTACTTGTACTTGTGGCTGAGGTGGAGTACCAAGTACGTTACAGACCATGGATTGATGAACAGCTGGTAAGGTCACTGCAGGATTAAAAACATACAATGATGGTTCCATTGCTTGATCCATTGAATAAGCTTGATACGAATTACAGGCTAAAATTAATTATTTTCAAAAATGGTTAACATATAGTTTTAATATGCAGTAACAACAACGTCAAATTGAAGAATCCTAATGTTTAGAGTTTCTGAGAAATGTATGGATAACTGACTTTATTTAGTTATGATTGACTTTCTATCATATTGTTGTCATTTTCTCAAATATGATATCTATTTTATCAGCTTTACTACCTACCTAGTTATTTATTTATTTATTTGAACACATAAATATTGGTACAAGAGAGTGCCAAAATATATGCGCCACACAAAACAATGAAAATTCGAAGAGAAATAGAAAAAAAAAGAGAACAATAACGAAGAGATTGGTGTAAGGTAGAGTGGTAGTAATGAGAGAATGCAAAGGTACAATCGGAAGAAATCTTTCAGGTAAGGGAGACACAACCACTTTTTATGAAGAAAGTAAAAGAAGATTACAGCAGGATCGCCACCGGCTTCTATTCTGAGCCATATCTGATAACGTCTCTAGTCACTGTGTAGCACCATCTCTCAGACCCCAACCAGGGAGTCGTGAAGGACCAACACAAGCCAGTCCTTTGCAGCCTCCTTTCACACCACGACAACATGTCATGCACTGACCACCTCTCCGCTTCTTCCAACTAGTCCCAGAGTCGACAAATAATGCACGACGTGGAATTCTCTGGGACGACATTCGGAGAACATGTCCAAGCCACAGAAGTAGGTGTTTCAAGATGGTGACACCAATTGAATTATCATCTCTGTGCCCCAACACACGATGCCGAACCTCTGCATTACTGACATGGCGTTGCCACTGAATGTCGGCAATCCTTCGGAGACAGCGATGATCGAACACAGAGAGTCGTCTAACATCCTCAACTCGGAGAGGCCAGGTTTCACAAGCATAGAGCAAAACTGCTCTCACCGACGCGTTGTAGATCCGACATTTTACAGCCAGACTAACATCACGAAGGCGCCAAACATCGCCCAGATTGGCATAAGCCATTCTGGCTTTCACTATACGTGCATTGATCTCATCACTCACACCCCCACCAGCACTTATGCAGCTACCCAGATACACGAACTTCTCGACTACTTCTATCTGCTCACCATCCAGAGTGAGTACAGGATTAGAATCCTGCCAGTCTTGTAGAAGTACTTTGCACTTCGAAGGTGCAAAGCACATACCATACCTACGGACACTGATTGCCAACTGATTAAGTGCGGATTGCATGCCTTGGGCATTATCGCACAGTAAGACAATATCGTCCGCATACTCAAGGTCGAGAAGTCTTTCTCCAGGCAACAGATCCACACCACCACTACTTACATTCATCAGAGCTGTTTCCAGAATGTCATCGATGGCAAAGTTGAAGAGGAATGGTGAGATTGCCCAACCCTGTCTAACCCCACTACTCGAATGGAACAATGGAGAGAGGTGGTTGTATGCCCTCACTCTGCCTGAGGTGTTTTTATATAGGGCTTTTAGGATGTTAATAAACTTCTCAGGCACACCCTTCTTCAATAGACAATCCCAGAGAACAGTCCTGTCCAACGAATCGAAGGCAGCCCTGATGTCAAGAAACACTACGATTGTTGGCCTTTGATAAGTATGGCGATGTTCTAACATTTGGCGGAGGGTGAAGATATGATCAATACATCCTCGACCAGAACGAAACCCAGCCTGCTCCTCGCGAGTCAATCTTTCTCGGGTTTTGAACAACCTACGAAGTATGACGGAAGCCAATAGCTTGGACGCAATCGGAAGTAGACTTATCCCCCGATAGTTGTTACAGGAACGACGTGAACCCTTTTTAAAGATAGGGACAACTATCGACTCATTCCATGACGTTGGTACACTCTCTAGTTCCCAAACCTTTGTAAACAACGTCGTCAATTCCTTAGTCAGAAAGTCACCACCATCTTTAAAAAGAGCCGGAGGTAAGTCATCTGGGCCAGGTGATTTGTAACACTTCAAGAGTTGGAGTTCCTTGCGGACTTCCTCCTCGTTTGGTGGATCAGTCGTCACCGGCCATGGAGGCCAGGACAGTCTGACCGATGTTGCCGGAGCAGCAGGCCAGTTGAACTGCCCTTCGAAAAATTCTGCCCATCGTCCAAGACGTCGATGGATGTTAGTGATTGGCATCCCATCATCCTCGCAGATTGTTTCACTCACACCAGACTTCTTGCTGCCAGTGGCTCGGATGAGTTGGAAGAGCTTCCGGTAGCTACCAGATGCAGCTGCTGCTTCCAGCTCATTAGCACGCTTCGACCACCAGGCTTCTCGGTCCTTACGCAAGCTTTGCCCGATTTCCTTACGTAACATCCTTCGTTTATGGTCAAACTCACGGTCACCCGGAGTAGACCGACGGGCTTCAATGAGTTGTAAGGAACCAGAAGAAACCTAGTGCTTAAAAGCGGGACGTTTCGCGAACCCACAACTGACTGTACCCGCCATTTCCATGGTGTCATGCAATTGCAACCAATGCTCATCTACACTTTTCGGTGGAGTGGTAGCTAGCCTAGAGGTTAGTTCGGTTCGATACTAACTTGCAGCAGAAGTTGCAACCAGCTTGCTAATATCAATCCGTTGATGGCGGTCACTTCGTTGTCCACTGAAAAGTAAGGCAAGATTGGCGCAGACCAAGGCATGGTAAAACTCATCCTTGATTGCATCCGGGCTGCAATCTGTCGGAGCATAGGCGGAGATGACGAAAAGACATCGTTTCTCAAGCCGATTTCTTCTCACTTTGATGGAACTTTCTAATCTAACAGCACATAACCAACCGACTGTTAATGGGGATCCAATCGACTAGTGCTGCCTCAGCTCTAGCGCTTAGTGCGACACCAACGCCAGCAAGACCAGACGAAGATGCCACAGGGTCCCCGGATAAACGCACGTAAAACAAGCTTTTTGAAGTGACAGATGTAGAGCGAATTTGTAGTACTTCACCAGAGTCTTGAATACGGGTCTCGGATAGACAGCAGACATCGATATGAAGACTTTCCAAAGACATAGCCAGCCCTATCTGTTGTCCAACCTGCATAAATGTGCGAACGTTGAAGGCAGCCAGTTTGAATGGCGCACGTGGTTTCAGAAAAACTGCTTCAGTACTCATATTCGGTGGTAACATACAATTTTCAACCGGACAGTGACTCGAGAACGTTTAGATACAGTCAAATTTCCACCAAAGACGAGCCGCTGTATAAGTATAAAAGAGGGTGAATAATGTGGATAATAATAATAATAATAATAATAATAATAATAATAATAATAATAATAATAATAATAATGACAATAATAGTAGTAATAATAATAATAGTATTAATAATGACAATAATTGTAATGATAATAATTTGAATCAACTGCTTGTTTTTCGGAGCGAGAAAAGTAATTTCCATAGGCATAGAGAGTTCATCAATTTGTGTGTGGGCTGTGATACTGCCCGGGTGCCCAAACCGAAGCAGGTGGTTATCTTAGGGGGCCACTCCCCGAGCCTTTGACTTAAAGGTCTAACCCACAAGGCAGTGGAGCATCGTAAGGAGATGCAATCCCATGGTAGCCGGTGACCAACGATTGGTTCATACGCCATTTGTTCCCGCAGGATACTGGAGCCCATGTGCACCATTGATTTGTGATCCGGTTAAAGCGCCGGACATTCGCTTCTCATCCTCTCATTTTCGTAAACAACACCCCCGCCACGAGAAGGCAATGAGTAGGACTACCCTGGCAGAGGCTGTATACGCGTGGCCGTGTGAGAGTATTTCGAGAGGGAGAGCGGACTCTCCCCACTCTCGGCCGTACCAGGGCATTCGGGGGCACATACCTAGTTAGAAAATAAAGTGTAAAACGACTAAGCATATTGAAAACTACGGTTATGTTAAGAGTCTAATCAGGAATGGCCAGCTGATTGGTTGAAAACTACCTACTTCAAAAATATACTTAAAAAGTCATTTCGTTTGTACTATATTCCATAAGCTGTCTTATAATACAGCTTACAAGTCGAAATCTCCAAATAATTCCGTGATAATAAAACACCATTACACAACTATAATGATTTCATTGAGTCGTCTTATTATTATTACTATTATTGTCAGTTTAATTAAAACGAATACACATTACTTACGCAGAACGTTAGTCCCAACAGTTGGAGACAGTGAAGTAGATGGATTTATATGATGTGGAATAGTGACAAATGGACCACTTGGAATCATATTCATTGACTGAGATGATGATGGTGTTGGAAGAGGAGTATTTGGAATAAACTGTGGATGTAAAAAGTAATTACTAGGCGATTGTACAGGTCCCATTGGAGGTAGAGATGACATTCCAAATGAGTACGGTACATTAGACTGAATTAATTGCACAAAAAAATGTAAAATTAGTACACACTGATAATAAGAATAGCTTTTTGAGCATGAACAATTTATTAGTGAAATTGTTAAAAGTAATGATAAATGAATAAATAGCAATGTTCTGGATGGGGAGTTTTTCCAAAGTTCGACTAAATTTGTGAATAAATACACATGGATAGTAACTAATTCCTATTTTGCATGGTAGGTATTCATAGCCCAATATGTTATAATTATATCAACTTGTAGATAATCTCCAGACCAACACCTCAGATATTAGTGCTGATAGATATTAAAAGTAAATATAGTAACTAGAGTTACAAAATGTTTAACTTAAAATGAGAACAAAAAGTCTTGAGGGACAAGACAGCATAACGAATAACAATATCAAAAAGTGGATAACAGGCAAAAAATCATAATAATCAACTAACATTAATATGAGAAAAGATTAATTCAAGCCTTGATAAAGATCGATCGCTCTTCAGTTCATTCGTTTATGAAATAACGGGCTAAGTAGATCAGATACTACACAGGAAACATCATTACCGCATAATACACCCGGTAGTTAGAAGCTCAAATGTATTGTTCATCAAAAGTTGCCCCCTCCCATCCATCAACTACGGATTAACTGCGCTATACAACAACAGTTAAATTTGATATTATCAATTACTGGTTCAAATTTCATCGTACAGAATAAAAAATCAAGCATCTATAAAACATACTAATCTAACTTTTCCCATAAACTAAACAAAAATATTTTCTATTAATAAAGAAAACTTCTTACTTGGATCGGTGACATTATATGTTGAGATTGCGGCAAATAATACGGTAAATGATGATGATGAGGTGGTGGATGAGCAGACTGTTGTCGTTGTGTTGGTGGTGTTGTAGACTGTAATTGTGGGTTATTGTTTTTCAATAAATTATTATTTGTCTGTTGTTGTGATAATGACTGAGGTGTTTGTAAACCGAGCATAGTCATATAATAAGGAAATGATGCGTATTGATGTTGTTGTTGACCAAGTGGGAGACCACCATAATTAAAATTCACAGGGGACAACATGGAGGCATTATACATCAATTGATTTGGTTGCTCTTGATGCTGATGATGAGGTTGTTGATCACCTCGTACAATCGGTTGTGACAATAAATTAACCGACTGATAATAATACCAAGCATTAACTAAATCATTACTGGTTAAATTGATACCATTGCTAGAATTATTATTGTTACTTTTATTATCACTAGTTGCATGGTTCGAATCTGAAACTAATGACATTTCTGTGATAGAATTATTACTATTATTATTAATAGTAGTAGTAGTGATAGCGGTATTGATAGTAGCATTATTACTAATATCACTATTATTATTAGTGACACTGCTATTATTATTAATATCGTTATTAGTCAATTCCTGAATTGAATTCGTTAAATTAGGATAAACATGAATATTTGAGTCAGATAAAATTGTATTTGTAGTATTATTTTTATTAAACATGGATAAATTCTCGTTATCATTTCGAATTTTCAATGATGACTGATTGGAATTATTAAAGGATTCCAATGAATTCAGTGCTTGTTCAAATTCTTTATTGGTTGAATGATATAAAGTATACCAACTTCTTGCTATAAAAAAATATATCTCTGGTAAAATATCATGTGATGATTGATAAGCGCTACGTTCAACGCATAATAAACCACGTTCTAAAGTATTACTTGAATGTTCACCGCATTGTTCTAATGCTCTGTATAATTCTTGTGGTTTTAACGCTGTACATAATGATAGACTGGCAAGACATAACTCTGCAGCAACATCAACAAGCTATGCAAAACAATTTTTTAAAAAAAAACATGAGTCAATTTAAAGCATACTAAGAAGATAAATAAATTATTTTTAGAAAACAAAAATTAGTCCATTATTAAACCATGTAGAATGTAAAGTATTGGAGGTGGTGGTGGTTGGAGGAAACCCTGGACATAACGTTTGAGCTATTTGACACTTGTCAGTAAGGTGTACCTGTAATCTTGGAGGAAACAGTACTCCCCAGAAGATTCGATTCCGTATAATCCAGCTCAAAAATTAGAGATGTTACTAATCAGCTAGCCGGGTCGCGATCAACCTCTTGTATAAATGAAATGTATTTACAATTAAACAATCACTGAGTAGTGACTAGTCTCATATATGTCAAGTTGTTTTTAGTGTTCGAATCCTATCGACCAAATTGCAATGTGATTACTAGTCTAAGTGATTCGATATTGTATGTTAGTTGAACTTCTTCGCGTACGACTAACAGGTTGTCCTGTCTGCCATGAACATGATTGTCATGTAATTATTTGAATATTTATTTGAATTGTCCTTCTCATCAAGCTGATTCTCGATTCTAAATTTATTCATATTTTTTTCTAATTACCTGATAAATTGGATCGCCTTTGATGTGTTTACTGATTGACCCGAGTTCCCAGATTCTGAAGATTCTATAGCCTTCTTTGTATTTCCTTTGTCCGAAATCTAAATGATTCTTCAGTCAAATTTGTGTCCACAACTGTTCATGTGAATTGATATAAGCGAAGACACATCATAGCGTTTGACAGCAAATGGGTGTTCATGCAAAGGAAAATGGAGAGAGCGACTACTTTGATGTGTAATTGGAACAGTTTATTTTGTAGGTATTGTTTAGCTTTTCTTCTTATATCATGTTATATTTTCGTTCGTATAAGATTGATTGACGTCCCCTATCATTTTAGATGGTATGATCTATTGTCATTACACAATTGTCCAAACAGAAACAGATGAACCATAGTTTTTAACCAACAATTATACAGCAGTTGAAGACTGAGTTTTAACCACTAAGCCAACACATTACTATAGATAACAACTGACCAAAATTTTCTCAAACATAAACTGTACAATTATAAGTATCAATGCTAAGGTTGGACTTCATAGTTTCAAATAAATTGAGTATTGGGTAGAAAGCAAGTGATTATATATATATATATATATATATATATATATATATATATATATATATATATATGTTTCGCGACTTAATGTAAGCCACTTTCGTAGGAGTGGAGAAACGTCAGAAATACAAATTTTCTATTCATTGAGATATAGCAAAAAAATATTTATTTATTTATTATAATCTGTGCATTTTCAATAACGATGAACAAGTAATAAAAAGGCTGAAAATAAAAAGTTAAAAATTATAAAACCAAACTTTTCTGAAAAAAAACCTTTTACAATCTGTTAATCACTATTTATTTGAATAAAACACTGAACTTTATAAGGAAAGAAAATTGAAAAATAATCCATATTTCTTACAGAACGATTATTTGTTCTTGATAATTGAAATGAGATAGCGGTTAGTTCTGCAGCTGTAAGATGTTGTTGCCAAGAATGATATAAAATACAAGCAGCCGGTATACCGATTTCAAATACTTGTTGACTTATCCATCCACCGTTTCTTGAGAATGTACGATTTTGCCAAGAAGGCAAAAGACGATTGAATAAGCCTAAGCCATAAAGTCCTAACTA